GAAGGGGACCCTCAAAAAAGCACACACACACACACAGACGCGCACCTAAGTGGGGACAGAAGCAAAACAAATATGGCACATTCTAGCCATTCGAAGTGAAGCTCCTGCGGATGGAGTTTAAACATTTATTATATTCGATGAGGGCGTCCTGGGAAATTTGTGGCCACGCAGGGTACTGCAATGACCTGCATTTATACGCAAAAAAACGTGAAGGATACGTATACCATTTTTTTGATTGGGTGGTTGAGAAAACCGAGCCTAGTTTTGATTTGGGGGACCCACCTCCCTCAACAACTGATGACACCCCGGCCGGGTTGGCCGGCTGCATCTCCAAATCCTTGTAGCGCGGTCATACATGTATGCGTATAAATATATATATATATATATACATATATATACATATATATCTATATATATAGCACCGCTTGAGCTCATGAACATGATCAGTCGAGGCATACTTCTGTGCAGCATTTTCCCAATTTCTGAACTTGTGGCAGAATTTGAACTATTTGACTACTCGATCTTGCATCAAGCTTTGGTGCGTCGACCAAATTTGGGGCTCTGGCCAGCAGCGCTTGCGAAAGCTGAATCTCCGGATCCGGGATGTTGGGCGCAGAATCCTGCAGCGACCAGTCGACTGCACCATGCAAGCGCTAGCGCTGGATCAAGCTGGCAATTTGCATACAACTTCCAACAAGCAAAAAGCTGTGCATTAACCAGCAGCTGACTTGATCATGCATGGATTGGCAAGTCTGACCACATGGTGCATCGATTAAATCGATGTTCATCGATCGGTATAATCGGTACACAGTACGTGAATCAAATCTGGCTGGGGCCTGGGCAGCCTTCTCGAGCTCTTTCGGTGCACCAACCTGGGCGCCGGCAAGATTTGCAAATGGCTGATCACCAAACATTGCAGGGCCCCCCGGGGCTACTGTACATGTGTCAGGTGGGTTGCCGCATGCAAGCTCCATGACCAACACGCTTGACAAATGCCACGATTGGCATACAGCCCTGGTGGCGTTTAGCACTAAGATGCTGGCGTCCTGCTCGAGCTTGTGCGACAGCATGCCCACCTGCGCGCGCATGATTGACGCTTGCGTTTGGCAGTCATAGCTATATATAGCACGCATGATATGTTGAGCTCAAGGGTGCAACATATTATATATTATATAACAAATATATATATATATATGTATAATAACCGTTCGCAGCTGTTAACCTATATTGCCAGGCCTGAGATGGCAACGGCTCCGTTTTCGTGATCGTGCTTGGAGTCCCCGCATCTGCCTGACAGGCTACGTGCTGTGCGCAGAGATTGTATACGGCATAGCTTGGATTGAAATTTTGGTTTGAAGTAAAACGCTTTTGGGGGTTCTATACACTGTATAGCCACCGGTACCCTGGCCAGTCACCCCGCCTCCGGCGGCCTTTTTGAATTCGAAGATCCAGTACGACCACATAGCTTTCCAGCTTCCTGGCCGGCCAAACCGTTTAATATTTATTTAGGTTAGCGTGAAAGGTCCGCCTGCTTCGGGTCGAGTTCAGCTTTCGGGGCAGCACAAGCCTGGGAGGAAACCAGAAACTTCAATTTGCAAAACTCTGGTCAGCTCAATTATGCATACATTGTTGGCGTCATTTACATTTTCCACAAACTGTGCACGGTGAGAATTGAGGGTCTGACCGGCGTGGCGGATGCAGCTTCTGCATGGTCTTCAGCCACCTGACAGCGCATTCTTTCCAAGAATTCTTCCACGATCGATTAAAGACTGTTGCATCAGCTGGGGGCTTCAAGTCTGGTATCTGGTTAATGTTTCTTGTGCCTCGAGCATTTTGCCTAGAAAACCGCCCAGGGTGGAGTCGAACCACCATGTTTTGCTACAGTATGTTCAACCTAACCTATGTCTTGCACACTGGTAGCAATGCCTCACCCATTGGGCAACTGGGCCAGTGGATAAACTTAAGTCCTATCACCAATTATTGCAATGTATGGTGGTACTTTAGATCACAAGGCCCGTGCCTCCTCATCATCGGTGTTGATGCCATCAGCGGTGTCCTGCCAAGAGAGCAAACATACTATATGTCTTTCTTAAACGCATTTGCATTTTTCGGGAATCATCATTCAATATAACTTGCAATGAGCAAACCTTTAAAGTTCTTTTTTCTTTAAAATGCATTTGCATTTTTTGGGGGAAGGCTGCAACACCCTCACCTTTGAGGAGCGGGAGCCACCGGATCGGCTCGTAAGGTCCAGTGCGTGCATGGCGAGTGCCCGAGCGCACCCACCCTGGTAGGCTGCCCACGCCTGGCGCGAGATTGCACGTGTTTTTTGTTTAAGGGTCAACACACATATAGCCTTGATCGACTTGGCCGGCGTTCTCGTGGGGAAAACCCCGTAGCGCTCCGCCATGCATTTGAACACCGCCTGTGGCAGCAGCAGGAAACCCATAAAATGATTTATCCATTTACAATCAAACCATTTTGTAGGACCGGCCTTGAACGTTGGTATGCTGGGCATCAACGAAGTGCGAGGGAACGCTGCGAGCAGGGGGCTCAGAAAATCAAAGTTGTCTTCCAAGCCCTCAGTGCATTCAACCCCCTTAGAGAGGGCAAACAGCTGATGTTGAGCATGGTTTCGCAACTGCATCAGGCGGTCCCCGCTTTTCAGCCAGCTGTCCACCACCTCCTGGCACAGTAGTTCGATCGATCATGGACCCGCCAGGCACAATGCACGCGCATGCTTAGCTAGCTTAATGTGCACATGATTGCGCTAGCTTAATGTGCAATCATCGAGCCTCAAGCAAAGGGTAGGCCAAGGTCGGGTCGTTGTTCCCCTGCCAGTGTGCAATATGCCATACATGATATATTGTGTAGCTATAGCGATGAATGCGCCTTGTTCCCGCTGTCGGAGTTCGACGAGTCCGCCATGCCGCCAGGAGACCGCCGCTCGAGCCACACCAGCTCAACGATCGAAAAATGGCACACATGTGCTTGCATGCCGGCAGGTCGAATGCAGGGCTGGGGATTTCAGTACGTAGGCATGTGCTTCCCATTTAATTATTTGTTTGTAGGTGCATTGCATATTGCCATGAATCAGCCCAAAGAATAGAAAGCACATACCATAGCACTGAATGACTAGCGTGTATTGAGATATAGATGCAAGTTGGCCACCTGTTGCAAAACAGGGGTTCCCGGCATGTCACATGACTCACATCGATGGGTCCAGAAAACGGATTGGATGCGTTTATGTGGTCCCCCCCGGGTTGTTCAACTATGATTTTTGTCATTGTCCTGCAGGGGGGGATCCATTAAAAGCGCATCCTAAACCCGGTTCCTGGAAAATCATGTCACATGTCCGCTTCTGCCATGTGTGATTTGAGCCGGGATGGGTCGTGGATCGCTCAATTTCGACAATGTCCCCCCTCATGAGGCACACGCAGATCGTACCCTCTCAGACCCCACGCATGGCATGTTGGTGACTATTCCCTACAGGGAGCCCGAGGGATACATACATACATACATACATACATACACACATACATGTATAGATATCTGCCTATTTTATAGCGAGCTCACCAATTTGGCATGATAAAGGTCCTTTAACTTGGGGATCCAATTCGGAGCCCTTTTTGTGGTTTCAAGGCAAGTTCAAGAAGAACACCGCCGGTTTTTTTGGGCGGGTCCGACCTAAAAAGAACCACACCCCCGGATCTGGGAGAACCGGTTCTCACGCCTCTCTTAGCACTGGAGCTTCCGAGAGTCAAGGAGCCAACTTGGGTCGCGATCGAAAAAGGCCCACTGGCGAATTTGTGTTTTTTTGGTTGGAGCCCCAGTGGTGCCCTTTCTCACCGACTTTTTTGGTTGGGAGATTTGGTTCCCCACTAAAATAGACTACAGGAAAAAGGGTACCCTTATTCTAACCTCTCTACTGGAGGACCTAGTTGAGGTTGAACTTCGCCCCCCCCCCCCCCGGTTTTTTTGGTCTGTGTTGAACATTCACCAAAATAGGACACCCTCCAACAAAGACCTCCCCAGCTGTTCTACTACTCAAGGTTTGCGGTACGAACGTGATCAATGCGGATGTTTGTTGCGCCTAGGTGCGTTTTTCAACCGTGGTTGCTTCCCTTGAAACCACCGGGTCCCCAATGTTGACATACCCTAAAATGGTTTCGTGCGTAGCGAGCACAGCACTTGTCAAGTTGGACGTGTGTAAAAAGGTGAGCGCATCAGGCGATGCATCGCCAAACAGGTTCAGGGTTCCTTCAAGTTATTTTTCGCGCCGGATGTTCAAGCCTTTAGCTTCGAATGTCGACATAGGGCGTTCCAAAAGCTCCAAACTTGCCTGAGCAGCAAAACGTTTATTGATTCTTTTAAGCCGCAGTTTGTAGAACAAAATTATTATTTTTTGCGGGTCTTAGTTTGCGCCAGGTGTGGGTCAAAAATGGGGTAACCTCAAAAAGGGTTGCCCTGGCAAATGGAGAACAAGGACTAAAACCGGCGATCATATCCTGGTGGTTACTAATGTTGACCCACAATGTTGACTCCATACAATTAACCCTAGTTTATTTAATAGAAGGGTGTCACACCCGGGGAATCAGACCACTTTTGGAGGGGCCAAAAACCACCCCCGATCAAGCTCACCCAACCCGTCCTGTTTCCCATTTTCCGCGGTCAGGGGTCGGACCAGCCATTTTCTAAATTCATGGGTCGGCATTCTTGCCACCTTTCGCGCGAAAGTTGCAGGAATGCCTTTTTGGTCATACGTGGGTTCCACCCCCTGCGTCATCGCTCTCGTCTGCCCGGGATGTGCCAAAATAAGCTCTCCCGCAAAAGTAGCGGAAAATTCTCGTTAGGGTTGTTGAGGGCTCCTGGCTCAAGTCCCCAAGTTTCCATTTACAAGGGCAACTCATGTTGGGTACCTATTTTTGACCCACTGCCATTTGGGCCAACGTCATTAAAATTGAGCACGCCACCACGTTTGTCGGAAAATTGGTGCGCAGGAGTTCGTAGAGGAGGTGAACACCGCCTGGGACGTGCCGCGGCCTCATGAGAACGGCTCAGGCGATTGCCGGTTGCTTCCATTTGCCCTGCTGGTTTTCAAGGGAATCGATCACCTGGAACCCCCAGGAGGCCACTTTTTTCCAGCCACTTTACCCACTAGTAGCACATAATTTGGTCAAAGTAGCTGGAAAAGAAAGGCAACTGGGGATCTAGGTACTGGGTTCCAAGGGGCTTAAGCAAATGGAGGGTTTGGCTGAGACTGGCGTCTCCTCCAAAACGAGTTATAGAGTTGTAGGGAACTTTCCCACACACACACATGGAACCTGACGTTCGGGAGTCCGTGTAAACAGAAGATGGTCTTGCAGAACCCCCCTGTCAGGTTCCACGTTAATTGGTGGAAGGGTAGTTAGACTAAACATGGAATGGCGTCCAAAAGTATGTTTGGAGTACCCCAGATGTGGGACAAGGAAACAGGCAAGTTTGTGCATCAAGCCAAGACGATGCTACTGGTTTCAGCGTTGGTTCTAATCAATTGGGTCTGTCTCAATTTTCGGGCAACCCATTTTGGATGGTTTTAAAGGGAAACCAAGAGGAAACCCAACCACCTAGAAGGGCCCCTAGTTTTGAGAAGCTCCCAATTGTTGCTGAGACCAGTCTGTCAGTGGTTTGTCTTGGGTTTTTATCCCGGCCACTCGGAGATGGCCATCCGACAGCCCGGCAAGCAGCGTTCCACTCCAACGGTGTGTCTTGTTGAGGGTAACCTGTTTTGTGTGGCTATGGCAAACCAAGAGGGAGACCACCATGGGTGTTCCTTTCAAAAGACACAACCATATATAGTGGTCCCCGAAACATGTCGATTTCCTGCTCAATCAAAGAAGAACATGGTCCTTGAGCAACACTCCGCGTGGCCGACATGGCGACGGCGCGATTTCAGGACACGCCTGACCGATGAAATCGAAGTGATGCTGGAAGACAGCAATGGGAGGACGCGACAGGGCGAACAAATGGCTTGGAATACTTTGAGAAAAGGTTTTGTTGACCAATGGTGAATGGGGATGCTCTAGATAAGAAGAAAGCAAAAAGTGCAAGACATGGATACTTGGAGAAAGGGCTTTGTTGACCAACGGTCAATGGGGATGCTCTAGAGAAGAAGCCAAAAATCACAAGAGGGTTGGAACTCTTGGAGAAACCAAAGCTTACCTGAAGGGAAAACAAGGGGATGCAGAAGAGAAGAAGCCCATTTCAGCGAGTCGCTTTTCCCTCAGAATGCAGGGCCCTGGAGAAGCTCAGCAGGATCCAAGCGATTTGGCCCAGAGTTGATTCCTCAAACCCCAGTGCATCCACGTGGGTATTGGATTCCAAAATAGGATTCAGTCCCCTCAAATGGCAATTTCCTGTTGGTTTTCCTTTACCAACTGCAAGAGTCCACCATTTTGAGGGACACCCATGTACCTGCATAAGCCAGGCGCCCACCCTTCAAAAGTCAACAATGTGACTTTACTCGTATCGAGCTATCAAACGCGATGGCTTCCCTTACCGAAAAGATTCGAACATGGCTACCCTACCAAAAGATTGGATCCAAACCTATCTCAGAACCTCCCCTTGGCTTTCCTCCCTGTGGTTTAGGTTTGTATTGGATGCTACTTTGGCAGTTCCCAGGGAATGATCAATCAACTGAAGTCAGAGCAACTGCCACTTGGAGAAGCTTCCTTGCACCATTTTTGGGGGGACAACATGATGATAAACACAACCACCCTCCAAGGTCTGCTTTCTTTCTTCAATCCGTGGGGATGCTTTCTGGATAAATGCTCATTGGATTGGGGGGTGCTAAGATTCGCAGAGACGATTCATTCGGGTGTGCTCAATGACTGCATGTTGCTTGGATGTTAGGACTTTAACTTGTTTTATCCAACTAGTGGGTTTTCCATTAAACCACTAAAATTGTTAAACTTTGAGCCGGGGGGCAGAAAGCAACCGAGATTTATTCAGACTGCTACACATCTAAAAGCCATTGGGGTAGAGAGGTGCTCAGGACGTGAAGTACTGGATCTATCACTCGCACATCCTTCAGCTATCGTACTCTTGTTCCGCAGTGACTGGATCTTCCCTGTTGGCATGGTTTTAGTGTTTGTTTTTTTTTTTGTTGTTTGGCTATGTTCCTAAGCTTTTCTTTGCAAATATATATATATATACCAAGGGTTGAACAAGTGATCCCACGATGTCTGCTTTCTGAAGGAGAAGAGTCGCAGGATCTCAATGCTTGGTGGCTCCCAGCCATCCGGTTCCTTAGCCTTTTAGCTTTTTAGTGTTTAGTCGTTGGATTTCCATTTAACCCAGTAAAAGTTAGTCACTGTTAGCGGGGCATCCGAAAACGGACAGCCCAGAATAAAACACACGACCACGGCTCAGATAGGCCAGTTGGATGGCAGGAAAGGAGGGGGCTCGCCGCGGTGTATTGGCTGGGGCGCCGAAAGCCCTTGGGGTTTGTCTCGGTAGGCTGCTGCATCCAAACGGGACATGTCAATGGTCGTTCCCTTCAAAAGACAAGCATAAAACAGGGGTCACTGGATTCCCCCCTGCAACAGTTGCAATTTACAGGTGGCTTCCATTGAAACTGCCCCTTTGCAAGGTTCCAAAAAGGAAAATGGCTTGGAAGCCCGGAAAAAAACTGGGGCCTTCTCTAAGACAGGCCCACGGCCGAGCAACGAAGTTGGCCCATGGCCCTTGGGCCCATGGCCCGGCGTAACTCTGCAGGAGCTGGGCGGAAATGGGCACCAAGGAGTTCCGGCCCGAGGATCGTGACCTGGGGTTCAAGTGGTTTTCGGGGAGGGTTCAAGGGGAAACCAATGGGTTAAACACACATGTCTTGGGGGGCCCATTTAGAATTTAGGTTGCTTTTAGTCTTCATTTTTCAGAGCTAGGCCCATAGAAAGGGAAGCATGATGAATCAGAAGAATTCCTCTTGTAGTGTGGTACCTTGTGATTAAAATTTCGGAGATACCCCCCCCAAGCGGTTTTTCGTCAAGGCGACCATAAAGGGTTCCCTCCCCAGGTCTTCGGCCCTCTAGAGTCCTGGGGGTTGTCTCCTCAATCCAGAAGCGGAAGCATCCCACTTTCGGGCGATGGCCAGTCGCTGAAAAGGCCACACACCTGTTTGAGCAAAGGATCCTAGTAACTGGAAGCACTGGCCCTGGGCTGGGGTGGGTCAAAATTAAACCACCAGGGGACCGCAGGTTTTGGTCCATGTTGCCACTTACCAGGGCAACCCATTTTGGGGTTACCCAAAATGGGTTATACCCTGGTAAGTGGAAGCATGGGTAATGTTGACCACCACCGCCAAACGGACTCCTGGAAATCATCTAAGGGAAGCGATACGCCCAGGTCTCAGGTGATCAACCGCTTCTTCAACCGCATCTTGATGCTGGAGGTGGGGGCATGCGCTACGGCGTGTCAAAATCGGGGACCCTTTTCCTATATCTTCCCGGGGTTGCGGTCGTTTCCCTTTAACACCGGCCACCAAAAGAGTATCCGCAAAAGAAAGACACATCCATGTATGGCGCTTAAAAAATGGATAGGCTTCTTGTCGATTCCCTTTACACCCTCTTCAACAGGGATTTCCTCAAAAAGAAGACATAGCCATATATGGCTTTGACTCGAAATAGGGAAACCGTGGGTGGTTTCTCTTTGAAGCCCAACACAGATGCCCCACTCTTAGAAGGCAGCCAAAAGGTTCCATCCTTCAACGAGTTCTTGTCCTTTGTTTAAGGGAAGAGGCAGACCACTTGATGTTTTAACGACGTTTCAACTGCGCAGGGCTCACAGCAGCGATACTTAGTGTTGGGAAGCACTCACACCACAACATCTAGATCTTATTGCCTGGGTCGCAACGCCTGCTTGCTGAGCCGTACAAGGGAAGGTCGTCAAACGTTGAACTGTGGCCACAGATGGCAAAATCATACGCCGAGGTCCCCGCTGGTTAACTCGATGTGTCGTAGGTTCGCACGTCTGGGATGGCGGACAATTCAGCATGGAATCTGAAAGAAAGATGGGTTTGGGTTCTCATGAATAACAGTTTCCCCGCTGCGTGGCAAGCAATATAACTTCAGATGCAGGGGGATACCCATGCGCCGAACCAATTTGCATGGTGAGTTGTAAGAAGATGTGCGGTTTCGAGTCGGACAGAGCTTTTGCTCGATGCTGCGGCCAGTGTGTTTGCACACCTTGGGCTAGTTGAAAGCCGTATGAGGTTTGGCCAATTGTTCCGAAACCTCTCTGATCAATGTGGGCCATGAAGGACTCACCAAAGCAAGCTCGCCCAAGGGCCATTTTGATGATGTGCGGGTATTGGTACCGTGGCCCCTGTAAAACCCCTGAGCCAACAAACAAATGGCATGTCCATTTGGGAAATGAGGCAAACTGCGGTGACCTTTTAAATGGTTGGTTTCCCTCTTGGCTTCCCTTGCAGCCCACCTGAAAGCAGTGCCCTCAAAAAAGACACACCCATAAGAGTGTGGCGCAAATTTAACCATTTGAGCGGAACCAGCAAATGGATCAGTGATTTATGGAAACACACTAGTTGATCTAATAGGGAAGCCGAGTGGTTTGTAGGGAACCCTGCTTTACGTGCTATGGAACCCACAACCGGGTCCAGTTCAAAGGAAAACGTTCTTCTAGGACCCCGAAGCATCAGGTTCCACGTTAGAAGAAAACGACCCCTCTGACTGGACAGTTAGGTTCCATGTTGGTGGAGATGGTTGGTACTCCCTCCCACATAGATGGACTCACTTCCTGAGTTCAGGAGCTTTAAACTCTTTGGGAAGACCGTCTTAGGCTCAAAATGGACAAACAGTAAAGCTTTGAACTCTTTTGCATAAAACTTTGAATATAAAGTTTGGACATTTTTTGGGCCATCCACTCAGCAAGTGAGAGGTCCACATCCAGAACGCCATGTTCGAGACCTTCTTCGCCGTCTACACAGAGCTGGTCCGAGCCGGGGCGCCGATTTGCGGAGAGATACTGTGGATGCGAAATCCATTTCGCGCCACACAAGACACCCTGGAATGATTCGATTCCCCTGTAAATACCAACAAATAATGGTTTCAACCATGGTTTCCAAGTGGCGCGCAATAGATTTCGTCCATCCACAGTATGGGTGGCTCTCGTCTTTTTGGGGAGGGAGTACCCCTGTTTTGGTGGGATTTTTAAGGGAAGCCACACGGCAACCGTGAAGGCTTTTTTGGGTGGGTGGGTGGGTGCGAATCCTGAAGAGAAGACACGGTCATGTGCCGAAGGACCGCAAAGGGCCCGGCGATGAGTCTCGCAAAAACAATCCGCTCAAAGACGGGCATGTTTTTTCCTTTCGGCTTCCTTTTTGACACACCCAACAAGGGGTACCGCGACGAAATACGAGCCGCCTCCACAAAGTTCCGGATGTTTGTATGGGCCACTCGATGCGCCATGCCAGGGCTCCGTAACATGCCCTCCTGAGGACCAGCAAGTTTAGCAAGTTTAGCAAGGGGGTTGGCAGCCATCTTCCATTTGGTTGAGGATATGTTTCGATGTTTCCTTTTTGGTTTTAAAAGGAAACGAACTCACTACTAGCATATGTTCTCATTTTCTCCAGGGGGCGAAGACTCAAATGGAAGGTTATCTCCGAATGCAGCGTCTGGGAACCCGGTTGACTTCCCCTCGCTTTTAGGACGACTCGGAGGGTATTCTGGAGTTGCTCAGGGCAACTGGAATGTACAGGGCTTATGGTTATCTTCGCATGGCATAGAACACTCTCTGTGATAACAACGCCAAGCCCTTGGATCTTTATTTTCTATGTGTTTAGTTTCTTTATAATTATATTTCTATGTGTGTAATTAGTTCTCAAGAAACAAACAAAGAGAATTCACCCAAAACATGGCTGCCATGCCTGCATTTCAAATGGGAGCTGACTCCTGCAGCCCGCCAGATCCCTTTGAGAGGAAACAAAACAAACCAGGACCCCTGAGTCAGATCCCATGAGCCAAACACCACCGTTTCAGCCAATGTTATAGAGCTTCTTCTGAAACGGAATATTGAAGAGACAAGCATGGGGAACCCCATGCCTGGAAAGAATGGGGGAAGCTACCTGGGTGTTGATGGCCAAGTGAGCCACACGCAAAACCGTATGGGATCAGATTAGCAGTCTCACTTTGTGCGAATATCTGCCGTGAATTGTAGGACAACGCTTCTAAGGATTTGGAAGGGACCTGCCTCTTGATTGATCCAACTCCATGCAATACGGGGCAGAAGAAATGACCATAGGGCTTTCATGGGATGAGGCTACATCGGAGTATGTGCCAAAATGCCTCCTAAAATATCTGGCTTTCTTTTTGGTCTCCTTTTCAAACCAACGTCAAACGGGGGTTCCCCAATAAACCGACACCCACGACTGGTGTCATTTTAGTTGGGCCAAGATTTGGAGGATCGAGGCAGCACGCTTTGGCAAGCCGATGGGACCTGTAAAGTGCAAAAGAACTGCTTCCCAGCGCTTCCCTGGCCTATCCAGTTGAGTAATATGGGGTCAACGCTACTCAAAGCGGAAGAAACCAACAGGAGTCACCAAAACTCTCGCCCAGTGCTTCCGATTGGCGTTTCGCCACTCTATTCGGCTTGCAGCCGGGGATCCTTACCACTTTTTACGACGGTTGCTCCTGGTTACGTATGGTGGCTTACCTGGAAGCACCGCTTGACATCCTTCCTGCCGAGGTGGACAAAGCGAATGGTGTGTATGATGAAGGCCGGAGTCCTTTTGTTTGGCTTGCGTGGGTGGTTAACCAAGCTCACCATGATGATAGCCCCTTATTTGGGATCCTAGCATCAGGCGTGGGATTGATTGTACTTGTTTCGAGGCTAAAAAAGATCCTGCACCCTGAAAATTCCCTTGCACATGGGGTTTAGCCCCATTTTTTTGTAGCGAAATCCAGTTTTTCATGGCGAATTCCCGTTTTTACGAGTAGCTTCAGGGTCCAGGAGTCCAGGATGCGCGAAGGTGCCATGCGCGCCGAAACTTGGATCCAGGCATCGAGAACCTGAACCGTGTTCAGGGGCGCACCATCCAAGACATCAAGGCCGGAGCTTTTGACAGGGCTCCCTATATGTATATTTCATACATTTATATTGACAGGTGTATATATGTACACATGGGGGGTGATCAAAAGGTCCTTGCAAGGAGTTCTGCATTCGGTGACCATTCGTCTTGGCTCAAATCCCTCCGCGAAAGATCGGCGATGGAGTTCGCGAAAGAAACTTATTTTTGTCGCGAAAGATTCCGCGTTGGATTCTTGGAGGCATGCCTGTGCACTTACATATTTGCAGACCCCGCCCCCTGTTAGACAGGGAGATACGCAGCACCTACACTTGCATTAATTCCTTGCCTGTGTTGGGAATGGTGCAAAAAATGACGTTGGCTGGGCTATTTTGGAGAAAGCTTCGTGAAAGATCCGCGAAAGACCGGCGAAAGGCCAGGGAGCTTGTTGCAAGCGCAAGGGGCAAGGGCAAATGACGGTGACTGCTTGCACTTAACACTACGTACTGCACGCAAGTGAACTGCGGCTACCGTTTTTGCAAGCATAACAGCAGCAGCCACAATGGCTCCAGAGCGCACGCTGCAAACAAAAGGGCGTGGCGATGGAGTCGCGAAAGATTCGCAAAATAAACTTTTATTATCGCGAAGATTGCGTTTTCCGGAAACAGGAATATTGATCAACTGCCATATATATACACATATCCCAGGTCACATATATATATATATAGATATACATATATGTATCATGTCACCCTTAGTTGGTGGTATACATATATATATATATAGATACCTATATATGCTCCCCCCAGAACCTACCTCTTAACTTGTACAGGCTGTAAACACTGAGATGTTTAAAAGCAGCGGGTGAACATATACGTGTATATATATATATATGTAGTTGTCGTTTTAATGCCACTGACCTGTATATATGCACATGATATGCACATATATATATATATATTTATTTGAGGTCACTGTCAATTGGTGGTTTGGATTGGTGGGCTTTGGGATTTGAACCCTGGTGTTTGTAGAGTGTAGATGGGAAACTCCTCCTTAACAACCAAACCACCAGTTAGAGGGAAGCTGGATATTCATATATTTATGTATACATATTGATATAAAATATACATACATTCATTCATCCATTCATGCATTCATACATACATTCATTCGTTCATTCATTCATACATATATATATATATATATACTCGTACTACATCCCCTCTTGGTTGTTTCAACAATCACCCTTTCGGCCAATCTCAGTGACTTTCCCGTAGTGATGTTGAGGAAACAAAGGGGGCCCGGGATCACACCCCGGACCTTCCAATGGATGAAGCCACTTCCCCACAGATCCAAAAAGGCGCCGTGTCGATTAGCCTTGGCCAACATAGGGGCCGCCTATTTGTTTGACACGGCATCATGAAGGGTTCCTGTTGGATGTTGAAAGGTCAAAAGAACCTGCCACTGTGGCACCTATGTCGGGAAACCATGATCTTCTCAACCCGAGTCTTAGGAAACACCAACTTTCTTCTATTTCCGTAGAAAAATCACCTCTCTTTTTCGGAAAGACACCCCCCACCTTGTTTTAGACACCTCACTTATCATGTTTGAGGCAGCTGATGGTTTCTTCGCGGATCGATCGGGACTCAGGTGGACCAAACTGAGCTGCTCTTCCGTGACCCGAGCTCTGGAGCTGCATGGCCGAGATTCAGATCCGGTGGATTTCTCGGTGGTTCCAAGCCATCCGGTTCTTTAGGTTTTTAGTTTTTTTTAGTTGGTATTCAGTGGCTGGGTTTCCGATTTTGTTCCACAAACTGATTTTTTTAGCGGTTCAACCAGCATGTTCCCAGCCATTCGGTTCCTTAGGTTTCTAGAATTTGAAGCCATCCAGTTCATTAGATGTTTATTGTTTTTGTGGGTCTAGTGGGTTAGTGGCTGGGCTTCCATATTTAACTCACAAATTGTGCTTTTGTCAGTTGATCTGAGGACAGCAGCCAGATTTGGACCACGCAAAAGCGGCGCAAGTGGTTGTTCTTTTGGTTTCCCTGATACTCCCAAAAATTCGTGAGATGGATTTTGGGTCGCTCAACGGGAAATCAGCAGGACACCACTCAACATAGGGTTGTTTTCGTTGTTTGTGTTTTTTGGGGCGGGTCCCGCATGTTGAGACAGTACCAGTTTGGGCGCGTCTGTGTTTGGATTTGACCTCCCAATGAACAAAAATACAGGGAACTGCAAGGGGCCCCCTGAAACACCATGGTCCTGTCACCTAAACGGGTTCTAATAAAGCTTCAGCCTGCGGAAAAGAAGAATCGCGTGTGTGTGTGTGTGTGTGTGTGTGTGTGTGTGTGTGTGTGTGTGTGTGTGTGTGTGTGTGTGTGTGTGTGTATGTGTATGTGTATGTGTGAGTGTCGCATTCTAGAACCTTTTTGTTAGAACCCATTCAGAATCACCCAAAGCCCAAGAAAGGAATCACCTACACACCTTTTGGCGCACCGGTCGCCACTGTTCCCTGAAGGCAATTTCAACATCACCATCTTGGCTACTCTTTGGTTGCACTATCAACGTGGGTTCAACATCAATCCTGCACGGGTCTTCACTGTTGTTGGCATGTTTTTCCCCCCGTTTCAGTTTTTGGGTTTTTGGGTTCTGTTCATGCTTAGTGGGTCTGCAAAAACACACGTTTGTTTCTCGGGCTTTAAAGTGGTGTCTTCGGGAGTCCGAGGCTCCAGTTTGAAAAACCCTGGGCGAAAAGTTGGTTGCACCTTAGGCGTGTTTCCACAGCTTAAACTATTCGAGTACCTTCTCGTGTCTGCCCCCACTTTCACTCGGCCTCACTCCAAAGGTTGGAGGGCGAAAGCCCAACCCAGGCACATGTTCGTTGAATTTCAGGTGTGGGTTTTGGAAGCAACGGGTTCAAGTACCGTCTAGCTGCGTTGACCAGTGAAATTCCTGAGGGATTTTCTGAGGAAGGCACATGGGTGTGCCAAAATCGGGGGCCCGCTTCTTTGTGAGGTTCCTTTGTGTGAAAATGGTACCCTGAAGCCATGCCCCATATCAACCTCAATACCTGCAAGACCCGCTCAAAGGAGCCCTGAACGATTTTTTCGGACCTTGGGTGACTGAACCTCTGGCGGCAAGCCAGCAAAGGGCCCGAAGCAAATGGCCATGAGTTATTTGTTACAAGGAGCCTTTGACTTGCTGGCTCAGCAGGGAATGAGGGAATAACCCCTATGCACTGTCCAACTGTTGGTTTCCTTTAAGGGAATCCCCGTCCGGTTCATTCCCTCATTCCCTACCTATCGCCCCAAGTTGACTCATGCCAGTTTGCCCGAGGCAGAAACTACCTACGTGCGCTTGTCGTTGGACCGCGGCATCACCTGGGAGGCAGTCTTTCATGGGAGTGTTCTCGCTGGAGAGGCCACCTGTTTGTCTCGGCGTGGCTTGTTTTGGGGGGGAAACCACCCATTTTGCGGGGGCCGATTCCTAGACACGCCCAGGTTTCCTTCTGGTGTTAGCTTCCTCTACGCCACCCCCCAAAAAGTACGCCCCAGGTGCCATTTCCCAGTTGCCCTGGCACCTGTGTTCCTTGCTTGGGGGTTGATAGTCAACCAAAACAGGTTGCCCATGTTTCCCATGGCTAGCCTGATATTATGTGTGGCCTCATCCCATGTCAAGTGCAGATTCAAGGGACAGTCCCAACCAGGTGCGGGAATCCGGTGTTTGTGTTCTTGACGCTGTTTTGTTGGGTTAACGATTCTAGCATCACGCCTTTCATGTGTGCCATCAAAAAATGACCAATTTGCAATGGGCCCCAAGGCCTTCCATCTTGGGGCTGAGATGGAGCTTGTGGCCTTGGAATACAGAGGACTGTGACATGCTTGCATTCAATCTGCCTATTTTATGGCGAGCTCACCGATTCAGGGGTATAACGAGCTCACCATGATAAGGTCCTTTGCTTGAGATGGAATGATGCAACTGTTCAACCGTGTGACCTGCGTTGCATGTGTCTTTTGAATCAGAACCCAGGCTGCTCGAAAACCGTCTTCTGCACTTTCAGTGGGCCACCCCCATGTCTGAATCAGACAGCCCGCTTTTAAGTCTTCAAGTACTTGGGGTGTCTTCTTTAAGGTTGGACCCCCAGAATTCCGATTTTCCTTGTGGTTTCTCCTGAAAATCCGCAAGGTAGGTGCCAACTCCAAGAAAGACAGACGCACCCACTCGTCTCCACGTTCGCAGGCTGCCAAGGCGGCCTATGACACCATCCCTGCGAAAGGCGAGTCGCGAGTCCGAGGGGACGAAACCCAAGCGGCGTAGTCCTTTCGCGACCTACATTAATGTTGCTGATGCAATTAAATAACAAAAAAGCGATACATTACTTTGTGATCATAATCTTAATCTATTTATATATATATTTTTACCCTAACTATGACGGACCTACCGGTGGGGGTGCGCAGCAGCCCGTTTTGCCTGATTTTTGGGGGGGACGAAACCCAAACTCCAGGGCGGTCTCCCAGCGGCACCCGGGTTCCTCACTATGTCAGGAGCAAAGCGAGTCGACTTTTCAAGCCCTTCCTAGAGTCTCCATGACCCTTTAAAAATGGGTGTCATGACCCCTTTCTTTTGGGTAGTGACCAACCATTTTTTAAAGGTCAGAAGGAGACAGGTGTTCAACATCCAAAACCTCCGTCTACATGTTTATCAGGGACTATGACATATCGACCCGTGGCGTAAGCAAAACCTGCACGGGCGTAAGGCGACGTAAGCAACTGTCAAAAAAAAACATGTCGCGCAAGCATTCCGCGTAAGCTATTGTTCAGTCATGTTGTTTGGAATATCCTATGTGTTTCTTCAGTCATGTTTGTCATATCCATGTGTTTCTCATTAGTCATGTGCTTGTCGTATCTACCCATTGGGCCTTGTAAAGCAATATTGTCCTTTGCTACTACACAACGCAAAACTAGGGAATGCTTGGGCGTTTTCCGCGTAAGGCTCGCGTAAGCTTCGCGTAAGCCCCTGCCTAAGCCCCAGCTGCGTTTCTGAGTAGTAGCCTTGCCGGCTTTGAAAAGCCCTTCCTAGACCTGCCATTGTCCAGCCCTGCCGAGCTCATTGTCCAGCTCTGCCGCACGGCGCTGCCTTGCTCCACAAGGCAGCGCCATCGCGAGAAAGCAGGACTCCGCCAAACGAGAAGGATACATGCAATTGGAGACGGCTCAAAATGCGAATGCTGGCCGGGCACTGCGCCTACTGTACGGATGGCCGAGACACTTAAACATGTTTTCCTTCTCGGATTTTGTGCGGTTTTGTGCTTCGAGTCGTTATTAGACCGAAGCTAGGTTCAAACATTGGTTTCCTTTAGCGTCGCCAACATGCTCTGGAGCAACCCTAAGGTGGATTTATCCCCTTCAAATCAAGATGGAACCCAAAACGGGGGACCCGAAAAGCAGTTTCCCTCTACAAATGTGTGGTTTTTTGGGATTGTAGGTGAATTTGTAGGGGCGTACTCACCAGATTACCATTTCACCTGCACAGTGAATATCAGTCGCTCATGAGCGCTGGTCAGCTTGGTTCTTGATTCCGCGCCTGTTTATATGCAAGGCCAAGCTTGCCTGCTTGTGTGCTGGGCCAAGTTAGTGGTTAGTAACCCGCGCACAGCTTCCCCGAATTCATTTGTAGAGGGTGAGCTGACCAGACTAGAAAAATACGTACTAGCTTGGCCGACGTATATCTTTAGTTTAATGCTGTGTACAGTGAAGCAAAGATTGTTGCAGATCAAATAAGTCTTGACATCAAGACAAACGCCGGATATGAAATTTAAGGAACTTCCAAGTCTGCAGGATCTACTGAAGGCTTCTACGAGTTCAGGCGGGGCGGGGAAGGCGCAGTGTCTAGCAGCTGCCGATGTTTGTTGTTTTTTGATCGGTTGTTTGCTTAAAGACCATTTCAAACTCCCGGTTGTGAGGTATGTTGAACAGTTCGTTAGGAACTTGAGATGTAATTAAGTTTGGATTTAGTGGCACCGGAGAAGCAAATGGCAGTGCGTTTTTTGGAGGACCACTGAGCTGGACACCTTTGTTGTTTCGGACCAGTTTGGTCATTGCAGGGAACAATTCCAGGGCTCGTCGGAAAATAAATCGGTGAACCTTCAGTCGGCCAGCAATGTCAGGAGCTCGATCCGGGATACTCCAAGTTGTTGCAAGATTTGGATCCCGAAGGGGCCAGGGTTCCCTAAGGCTCCCTAAACAACCCTCAAAAACCCTAAAAGCTTGTAATAACCCTAAGGAACTCGTAACGTACCGAACCCCAAGAATGGCCAAAGGGGCTTCTTGATCAAACTGTTTGCCGGGCGTTCTTTTGGTTTTGGAATCTCTGATCCGAAATTAGCGTTCTCCACGTGTTGCTCATCCAAATCTAGGGTTTCTTCAACTAGGGGCCCCTCCTGAGGAAAAACAACAACAACCGCAAATCTCAATATGGCCATGGGTCAAACCTATGCCTCCGTTTTGGGGCGGATGAACACCCATGTACCACCTAGTTTGATGTTCACCAGGGGTACAGGGTTTTGACCCACAGCCATCTGGCATTGTAAAGTTTGGCGTTCCTGAAAGGCTCCGCCATTTTTTTTGCCAATCTCAAGGTAGATCATGGCAACCCGCAGGCCTCACCCGGAGGCAGATCCCGTCTACATCCTGGTGAAGGAGTGCGGATCGGGCATGCCACATTTGGTTTCACCCGAGTTCCGTGCAGATGGACTTTGACTTGGTAGTTCGGGGCCCTCATGTGATGAATCCCCACTAAAAGGGGACACACACTATGCCACACCTTAATCAAAATCAACCAGGAGTTTGTTAATCCGGGGTTTTCATTGGGGTCTTTGTGGATTTGGACCATTTGAGTGGACAAAACGGTTTGATACTGTTGTTGGTAGCAGTGACAGGAATTTAGCTCAGGAAAGTGAACCGACTTTGCTGCTGTTACATGTTAGGGTGGGCTGAATATGGGCGTTTGTTCTGTTCGCGGGGTGCCGCCTTGTTTTTTTGTGGCTTGAAAGGGAAACCGAGAGGAAAACCACCCTTTTGTTTGAGTCATTCCTTTCCTTTCCCAACAACACACACACATATAAAACAGAGTCAACTACATATATACTTTTCCTGCGCACCCTGCTGGGCGCAGTTTTGGGAGCTCCTGGTCGTGTGATCCAGTGACAATGAGCTGTCAGTGTTTCAGTTTGGGATTCTCTGGCTTTCGCTTACCCAAAAATGGACAATTTGGCAGACGCGACTACAAATTGGACCCGTGCTTTCGTGGCATGCTTCCCTTGACCTGGAGTTCCCAACCAACTCTCAGTTGTAGAATTCAGAATTGCTGTTTGGTAAAATGTTCATGTCTTTGTGTTTTTGGTTGGTACTCCTTTGTGTTTTCCGGCGAAGCCACCGCCGGATCGCAGCACATTTTTTCGGGGGCGTGGCTCCTGATCGATCGAGGAGACCCTTCAGCTGGGCGGGGTTTCTCAGCGCCCGCGGGACCCGGTGGCTCTATTTTAACCGCTGGGTGTCCTTGCTGTCACGGGCGAAGATCTCTCGGATCAATCTCAGCCTCAATCAAAACCCGGAAGATGAAGGTTAGAAAGGGACAATCCCAGCTATAACTAGGTTCGGCCGCCTTTTCAATTCCTTACATGGTTATGGGTTCACCATTTTTGTACCAGGTTTTGATTATGACTCATCTGAGGAATTAAAATGCGAAGTGAAACCCTGTGATTCCGTGTTTATGTATGTAACCAAGAGGTTTCCCACCCTCTCAAGACTCGAAGGACGATGTGGCTGGTTGCCTATCCCAGTGCTCCCGATTGGAAGGCAAGCCTACCATGGTTTCGCCTACTACAGTGTCCGGAAGCACTGGGATGGCTTTAGCTGGTGTAGTTGGGGGTAGAGCCCTTAACACGGGAACAAGTTATAAGTTATAAGTGAGAACTTCTCACCTGCATACATTAGTATATCCAAGGGTCGGATCTCAGAAGTTTGGTGACCCATCTGGGATTTCTTGACACAACGGCAAAGTAGGGGAGGCGGCTCACGTCCTTTTTTTTTCCCTTGGCAATTTGGTTTCCCTTCAAATCAACCCCACAGGGGCTCACCCTCAAAAGGACGCAAGCCCATGTTTCCATAATGCTGCAGGTGTCTTAAGGTCCACTAGTTCCCTCAGGGACAGACTCGGTTCACGGCTTTCCTTTCTTGACCAGAGCGAGTTGCAAATAACTGCATTTCTTAAGACATGCACGTTGACCATTTGCAGAATCGCTGCTTCAAACTCAATCGCGGCATTGCAACAAACCAAGGACTGGACAGCTGCAGAACAGGACAGTGCATCAAGGAAATCCACTGCTTCCAGGCAAGCCACTGTAGTAACCCTTCGGGGTCCTTACCTCCAGGTTTTACATAGATGGTTTCCCCTGGTTGCAAGCGACTAAAAAGAGTGGCGAAACGCCTGGAAGCACCGGGAAACACGACACCAACCAGTCTGAGTTCAGTCCTGTGAACCTTCGCCAATTTTAAGTCAAGCCAGCTGCCGAATCAGAAACCGAAGAGGTGGACCTCGCCGAGGGTTCCGTTTCCGCGGCTGCCGGACATTTCAGGATGAGAGTTTTGACAGAAGCACCCAGATCTTTGGCGATAGGCTCAATGGCGAAAAAGGCAATTCTCCCCTAAAATCCAAAACGGGGTGGATGTGAATGGCTGCTAGACGGATGTCATGGCTGTTCATGAACTTGTTTTCTGCTTTTTGCCAGACCTATTTGCCACCTCCCCGAAGGGATCCGGCTTTGCCTGAGGCGGCGCCGGTAGCACGGGCACCACCTGGGTCGCGCGCAGGCGGTTCGTTTTGTCGGGCGGATTCGATTTCGGGTCCCTTGGTGGTACGAAATGACCCACGTGAAGCTCCAGAAGCCACCAAGTACTTCATAGGTGTCCGTTTTTGGTTCTTTAGGTAAACATCGATAACTCCGTGGTTGTTTTGGTTATTGGTTGTTTGGGTTGTTCTCCCTGGTTGACCTGGTGCTTTCATAATCTACCACTAGCTACTTTCCCAAACACGGACACCTACGCCTCGGGGGTTGTTTCTCCAGTTAAACTGGACCTGCTGCCTTGTGATCTTTGAGAAGTTGCCATGTGGGCCTTCGCTGGTGGTTAGGGAGCCGGGGAGTTGGGCCAACGACACTCCCTCAGCGGAAGCTGCCAGAAAACCTCTGCAAACGGAACCAAGTCTTCCATTTCGGGGTCCTGGGAGCTTCCATGTTCGTCTGAGGGAGGGTATCTAAATTTGCTTAAAGAGGGAGCCGCCAGGGAGTTGGGGGTAGAGGGAGCGGTTGAGGAGCTACCAGTTTTGTAAGCACATGGTGGGTAGTATTGTATATATTTGTACTATGTGAAGTTGAAACCGTCAGTTTCAACCAACAGGCCTTTTCATTACCCTTACCCCGCAAAGCAAAGAGCGGTAGATGAAATTGCACACGTCCTTGACTGAAACGTGGAGTACTTTTTAATCCGGCTGTTTCCGGTGTTTATACCCGGTGGTGTTCGGGATATGTGGTGACATCTCGGTTGGGCGCCGCAGTGCTGGCATCTCGGTGCAGGCATGCTGTGGTCGGAGAAAATCCGTTTTGCCCAGTGGGCAGGTGGTTTATCAACCTTCAATGTTGTTGGCACGGTTGTTTGGTTTTGAGTTTTCGTTGGTTCCTCATTTTTAGCGGGGCGCCAAAACACAAGCATGTGTGTTTGCTACCATACCAATCTTGTTGTAAAGTCAACCAGTACGTCAAAGCGCGCTTCATCCGTCCCAGCTGTTTCCCCGATGTCCATGGACGCAGCCGCGCAGGGGCTAGCTCACGGAAAGAGAAGCGTATGGCCGAAGGGAACCGCCTGAAAGTGGACGTGAAGGATCCCTGATGAAAACTCTATGAGAGGCACCGAATCAGCATTTGCTTGCGGAGGATTGTGGGTGGGAGGGGTACGGTGAATGCCCTGAATATTGCAAGTATATGAATCGACCACAAACCATGGTTGAATTTACAGGGTTTCGCTTGTTCACCGCATTTAGGGCATCTATCTTAACGCTTTTCCGGATTCTATCACTGGAATGATTGGGATTCCACGGAATCACAGATTTCGGGTGTTCCAAGCATATCGGAAAAAAAAGGCCTTGAGATCGCACGGAGGTCTCTTTCCCCAGTGCAGCACCCCAGCTATGAGCGGCTATGAGGGTCCCCTTTTTGAATTTGTTGACCCCAGATCAATACACCCTTCCTATTTGTTCCTCGGGGGGGGGGATCCCTCCAAAAGTGGTCTAAATCCCCACCAAAAGGCAACACCCCCCTATCAATCAACCAGGAGGTTTAATCCTCTAGGGGAAGCTTCCCCATTCTTTCCAAGGGTCCTTCTTTTCAGGAAACTATCAAACCCAAACAGCGATCCGTTTTTGACAAGAAATCCCCCAGGGGAAACAGTGATCGGTTGTTGAAAATAACCATGGTTGAAAAGAACGGAAAAGACATCAAACCCTAGAAATCCGGGGTCGACATTACCGTCACTGAGCAACTGCCCAGATAGCCAAGTTGCTGTTTGTTTCAGTCACTGTTGCTGGTTTTTGGTATACAGTGGATGGAAAAACGCGATCGCAACTGGCGATCCAGCTGGGTTCCCCTCGTGATGGCAGGCGCCGCCGCCAGTTCTCAGCGTGGCGCGCAGACTGTGGAGCTGTCACCAGCTGGTCTGAGGGGCGCAAGGCGCCGAGCGCGCGAGCGCGCGAGCGAGCGCTCGCTTGACGTGCATGGAACTCAGGCGTGCAGTGCCTTGATGTTCTTTCCCACACCCTGCCAAGTCATTCCGGTGGTTCCCAGTCAACCCCCTTTGGTCTTTACTGGTTTATAGTTGTTTTTTTAATGGTTGGTGTTCCATATGTATTCAGCAAGTTAAGCTCACTTGTTGCAGGGGATCTGAGTTTGGAGCAGCCCATATCTGTAAATGCCAAGCTTGCTGGTCCTCACCCAAGCTGGGAACAAGCACAGAGTGGAATTGTCAATCGAGTTGCTCTGGCATCCAGATTGGAACTGCTTGCATGACTTTGACAGCGTTGCCACCAAAAGTTGTGAGTCCTCCCAACTTGGCAAACTTGAAACTTTGAGTTGGCAGGCCTCAAGCCGTGAGAAGAGGCTGCGTCTTCCTGAATGAAGCCGATGCCCATTGTATCCCATTGTGCAGGGTCGGGAACCCAAACAAATTTCAGACGAAGCTCGTGTGTTTTTTGTTGGCGGCGTCCCCACTTTGGTGGAAGTCATCACGCCCAAACTTGGCAGTTCCCAGCCGTCCGGTTCCTTAGGTTTTTCCAATTGGTTTGGGGGCTGGATTTCCATTTAACCCACAAGTTAAACTTTTAGCAGAGAATCAGAAAACGAGGAAGCCCCTCATTTCTGTTTCGAAGACGCAGGCCTATTTCGAGAGCGACTTCGAGCAGGACTGCTTCACGCGAATCTATGGCAGAGCACTTACACTTGAATCGACTGGGTGTGCAGTTTGGAGCATACTGTGAATGGACGAAATCCTGCACCACCCAAGAAACCCTGGAATGATGATTCCCCCTGTAAATACCAACAAACAGTGGCTTCGCCTGGTTTCGAAGTGGTGCAGGATTTCGTCCATCCACAGTAGGTGTACTTTGTGTCGGTTTGGTTGAAAGGCAGAGGGCGATTCCTGCTTACCTGGTGGTTCAATGGTTCAAGTTCAAAGGCTGACGGTCCATCTCATGAACCCATGGGACTTGTGGTGATGTTGGAGCCTTTGGGGGCTTATTTCAAATTTCCCGCCAAGTCATAACAATCGGTTAGAAATAAAACATAAACTAGGGGTTCATACCAGGAGTTCATGTATGGGACCTATACATCTACCAGCGGCTATCTATTTTCCATCAATGGTTTGGAGTTGGCGTCCTGGGGTTGGTTACTAAAATGAGCACGAGATTTCGAGGCGAATCGGTGAAAGAAGAAGTGCTTGGCGAGTCGGGTGTTCTTGTTTGCGAATTGACAACTGAAAAAACACATTTTTCGAGCTTGATCACTTTTCGACTAGCCAAGGCACAGATGAGGAGCTGGAAACAGTGAGAGAAGGATGGATGGAACTCTACCGCAACTCCGCCAACGCCTTGGCCAGGGTAGGGGTTGACTTCCCACCAAACTGACCTGAAAAGGCCAGCTATGCTCTGACATCTTTGCAGCATCGCACAAGCACCGGACTACATGCTTTCCAGAAACCCCCACCAAATAGGGGCCGTATTGATTTGTGATTGAAATTTGGCTCAACCATTGGCAAATCACATAATTTCCACTGGCCTCAGTTTACTTGTGTTCATTGAGAGTCATGTGGTTTCAGCACAGGGATACGTTGGGTTAAAATAGGTGGCACAATCCCCTCTCTTAATCCTCCCTCAAACAAAAACAACACATACCCACAGAAAGGGAATTGTGCCGTCTACTTTCAGACTGGATGGTTTTTTGTTCGGTTCCGTCGCAGTCTTCATAGCCGAGGCTGCTTCGCGGACAGTCATGGAGCATGTGCTGACGGGGGATGTCCTTGCTGTCACGGGCTAAGATCTCTCGGATCAATCTGAGTAATCGAAATCCGAAGTGAAGCCCAGTGATTCCATGTTTATGGGTAACCGAAAGGTTTCCCACCCTCTCAAGACTAAAAGGACAATTTGGCTGGTTATCCCAGTGCTTCCAGGCGGTTTACCAGTCTTTGGTGCATTTTGCTTGGATGTTAGGACTTTAACTTTTTGCCAACTAATGGGTTTCCCGAATTAAACCACTAAAAGTTAGTCACTTTTAGCAGGGGAGCAGATTTCGCAACCGAGCAGTATAGTGGGCTTGCAAACAGAGATCCTGACCTCTAGGGTCATGATGGATATCCCTGGTTACGTATAATTCGATCGGTGGTCTCTCGAAAAAATAAAAATAAAAATAAAAATGGAAAAACAAACTGAAGCAGTCGCTTGAAATCGACCGATTTTCTCTCCAAGTTGTTGCGAATTCTGAATGCCAGGTGATCAAGCCGTAAAGAACAGTTAGAAGTACCGCCCTTTGTTCCCCATACACCCCCCAACAAAAAACAGGGCTTTGGGGCCGTTTTTGGCCATGTTTTCATGGCCCCACAATCTGGACCGGGATTGGAGTTGTAAGACGTTCCTCACGTCAGGGCTCAAAATTAAAGAGCATGGGTTACGCAGGTGTTTGTCTTCCATTTACCAAGGCGCCAGTTTGGTACATGATTTTGAGCCACAGCCATTTGCGACACAAAGCTGAATGAGGCATGGCAGTTGGTGAGGAGCGGCAAGTCCAAGGACTGGCTGGCGATTCACCAAGTGAGCCACAATCAAAACCTGGGTAGATGAAGGCAAGTAAGGGACAATCCATCCCAACCATAAATAGCTGCGGATATCCGCCTTCTTAATTCTAGCATGGTTCTGGGCTTGGACCATGTTTTTTCATACCGGGTTTTGAGCAAGTGACTCAATGACTGGGTTGTTCCTAGGCGCCCTTTTACCCTTTCTTTTCTGGGAGAGGGTTCCCCTACTAAAATAGACGACAGGACAAGAATCGGGTACCCTTATTCTAACCGCTCAAATCTGGAGGACCTAGTCACTCTTCGAATTCACTCTGTGCAGCTTTGAACCGGTGGCTTCCAATCCCTTGCCTTTTTTGGTTGCATCAGGGCTTGCGCCATTGGCCCGAGAACTTGACGTTGGCTTCGCCCGAAGTTTTCTTCTCCAGCTTGGTGTTTGACTCGGTTGCTTTATGGCTTCACCGGTCTTGGATCATGCTTTTAGTTGTTTAGTTGTTGTTTGGGTTCTGTTCAGTTGGGGGGGGTTCCTTTGGGTTTCGCAAGATTTGGCCTGGTTACCTACTACAGTGCTGTCCTGGAAGCACTGGGTGGTTGCTTGTTGGGTGTCCCACCAAACATGGTCGAGCTCGAAAAGGGTTATCTTTTTTTCGACGAAATGAGCAAAGAATGAGAAGATGTTGAACAAGTCAATGAGCAAGCGACGTTGAAGTTCAAAATCGCAGGAGACCGCCTCGGCGGAAGGGTCGGGCACCCGGTGAAAGGGGACGGGACAAAATCCATGCGGTTTGACAAACATGAAGCCCGAGTTCAATGATTAAGCGACCCACAGGCATTTTCGGGAATTGTGGATTATGGAACCAAGATGCCCTTTTACTTGGTGGCAGCATGTCGAACCACCACCATGACTTGGCAAGAACGTATGTTCTGTCCCCTTCTGGGAATGGAAAGTGGATCCCATGGCCAAATAAGATTCTTGCAAAGGCATGGTCGGTCCTTTGTACTTGCCAGGTTTTGGAACAGGAATCTGCAGATTCATTTTCCCTGATCTTTTCTTCACCCCAATTTTGTGACGGTGGCGGGCAAATGTTGGATCTGACTTTGTGGGAGGTCCATCACCTAGCAAGGATGTTGTTTGTTTTTCAGTGCCATTTGCTCCCCGAATCCCTGCTCCCGCTTCTGTTGTTTTCTGGACATAGACCGGATCTCTCCCACTTCTCCCGCATAAGGGGCCAATGAGCGGATGTGGTTGCCATTTGGGTGGTTTTCTTTTGAGGCTACCCCCACCCCCTTTTGGTGGATTTTAAAGGGACACCAACAGGAAAACCGATGAACACCACTTCTTCTTTTCCTTTCTTTTTTTTTGGGGGGGGTCCCAAGAAGAATTTACCCCCAAAGGAGTGTTTACCCTTTTGGGGGTTGGTTTGGCGTTGGTTTTTTGGGTAAGCCGTTTCAGTTTTTCCGTTGATCCCTAACAAAAAACACGACACCCCTGTTATTTCGGAGACTTGGGGCTGCCAAACGCCATGGGATAGGAGCCCAAGCCACTGGCAAATTTGAACCGCTGGTGCCGAAGTGTTCTTCTCCAGCTTTTGACTTGATGGTTTAGAGTCACACTGTCCTTGGATCATGGTTGTAGGTGTTAGGTGTTTTTTTGTCATTCTGCTTAGTCTTCGTGGGGGGTGGGGGGGGTGGCGGCTGCAAAAACAAAGTTTGTTGCAGCTACCATACCAAGAGTTGCAAAGATATGCAACAACAAGATACAACAGGTTGGGATATTGTTTAACATGTCCTGGTTCATCTGGAAGCAATGTGTGGCTCCGCAAATGCTGAGGAAGAAGTTGTCAACATAAGGACCCCAGTGTCTCTGACTTTTATGGTGGTCGTGTTGGTTTTTCCCCGACCCAGCTGAAAAGGGTAGATTGAAACACAGATACCCATTCTATTTCCAAGCTTCCAGGCCAGCCCCAATAGTAGGTAGCCAGGGAAAACCATCATGTAAAACCAAGAGTGAAGGATCCCTGGTTACCTACTACAGTGGTAACTGCAAGCACTGGGAGTAAAACACACACACATGGGTGTGGCTCAAAATGAAACAGCAGGGGCAAACCGCAGGTTTCCATGTTTCCACTTACCAGGGCAAGCCATTTTGGTACCGGTTTGTTGAGCCACAGCCAGACATATATACACCCATTGGCAGGCCCAAGCTGCAGATTGTGCGGGCGATCACCCAACCGGGCAACTTGCCAGCCTAGGCCTCGGCGCTGGCGGATTTGTTTGGGAAACGACATCAGCTCCGCAAATTTCGGAGCTCGATGTTTGATGGCTAGATATGAACTTTATACTGCCATTTGTAGCATCGGTGCGTCCCGAGTACCTAGGTAAGGACATACTTGGACAACTTGACCCAAAAGCCATCCGCAAAGAGGACCAAGGGACCCTCGTACGCAGGGGTTGGTTTGACGGGCATTCATGTAGCCTTTGAGCAGCATCACTTTTATTGAAGAGCCCGCAGAGGAGGGCTCTGAGGGCTCTGACAATAGGAGATCGGCTTGATCTTCGCCTTTAGTCTACAGAAAGATGAAGCTAGATGGTGCACCTTTTGTTTTGTAAGGGGGATGATGAAATGTTCCAGGGATTGTGGCACCTACTTTCACCCTGTAACATGCCCTCAGCGGGCTGCGGGCGCCGCTGAGGTGGTGGGTATGCGCTTGGATGGTGAGGACATTCCGCACCTGAGGCATGGTATGGGTTGCTTGTTCCTTTCTGCAGCTGAATTGCCCAGTTCCAGTGTGTTTTGTTGTATTCGTTTGTTTATTGGGTGTTGGTTTGGAGGTGCAATTTGCTGCTGAATTGGAGTCTTGGAGCTTTGCCTAGCTGAGTTCCAGCCTTTGTTCCCTTTCCTTCCGTTTGCTTAAGAATATGTTTTGCTCCCCTGTTGCTTTTACAGGCAATCTCTCACTCCTTGAAATATGTATATTCTTGCCAGGGGCCTTTCGCGAATAGAGGTATCTGGAAAATGTCCCTTCAAGATCAACAAGAAGGGTGCGCACTCTCTCTCCCTCTCTCTTCCTATGGCATGGCCACTGGGCTTTTGCGGGGGTTTGAATGACTACCTTCTCGCTTTCAAGGGGTCAACTTTCCTTTGGTACCGAAAGTGGCCCAGTCAAGTGGTGAGAAACGATTTGACAAGTCACCAAGAGACTCCCCAGACAAAAGCGATCCTACGTCCTGCTTCTCCACGTCTTGCCTCGCATTTCGGTGATGCTTTGCGGACCACGCTCGACACATTTTCTCAACCTCCGATCCCTTTTCTGCTTCCGATCCGTACAATGTCGCTTGAGCATATACAAGTTTTTGATGGACCGCCCATGGTCAAGGGAAGCTAAACCGCATTCGCCACTTGGTAGCCGATTCCTATTTTAAGACATACCGGGCCATTCAGTACATAAAACCCAGGGCTCCTCTGGGCTTATCGGATCCGGATGTAGATCCTCTCACAGTCCGTTGCCTTCGTGGCAGAAATGTACTTTGCCAGTAGCACGGGACGTGGGCAGGCCGCGTTTGGACGGGAATGTTCAGGCCCCAGTTTTTCGGGTTTCCGAGTGATGTTCCTTTTTGGAGCTTCAAGTGGATCGATCGGTTCAATGGAAACCACCAGAATGATCGACTTTTGCAGGGAATTCCGGTGGCTTTTGCCAGATAGGTACTCGGACTTCCGACATTTGAGTTTAAGAGACTCTTTCCACCAGTCCCTAAGTGGGAATCCGGTACCATCGGGGTTTGTTCTGAGTTGGTTCTTTGTGGTTATCAAAGTCAGCTGGGGTTATTTCCCTTTAACCTACCACTGAGGGGTGACTTTGATCATGGCGAAATCATGGGACGTGACCTTTGATCAATACAACTTCGTGTTCCCGGGGGGGGGGGGAGACTGAGGGATCACAATGGGGCAATAATCCCCCCACAGAAATGCCCTGAAGCCAAGTCAATCTTCTTTGTAATGTTACTAGTGGCAATGTTAGTAAGAACCCACTTGCTACCAAAGCGGATCGACCTGTTGATCTTTGGCTTTTTCCCATTTGGTCCATATTTGCACGTTTAAATTCTGGGTCCTTTTGACCAACTGAGTTAGCCATCCATGGTCACTAACGCCTTACGTACCACGCTGAAGACGTATGTTTGCGCTTCCGCTGAATGAGTGTGCCGAAATGGGTGGCTTTTGTTTCTTCTCTTTTTTTTTGTTGGCACCCCCTGTTGGTTGGTTTCAAAGGGAAATTAAAGCACACCATTTTTGTGAATCCCCTCAGGAAAGAGACCCCCGTAGACAGATGTTTATAGATATATTGATCTTTTGGGGAACCCCCCCCGGTTATAGGATCCCTGAGATGGTTGAGTTGCGTATGGTTTCCCTTCAAAGACCAACCAGAAGGGAAACCTGACAGCTTAGCCTGACTGCTATTGGGTTGGATCTTTAGACTTTAGCTTTTCGGGACATGAAGGGGTTCTCGACTAACCCCCCCAAACAGCTAAACTTTTTGCACGGGAGTCAACAGCAACCAAGAAAGTGTCCCCCCCAAAAAATGCGGCGGGCGTCGGCCAGGTATGTGCTGTCGTGCCAGCAAGAAGCGGCTCAAGAGCCGAAGAGCAGCTCCATCAAGGAGGTGCGCCTGGAGCTTCGCCCGCGTTGAGGGTCCTTCATTTGCTTAAGAATATGTCTTATTTTCCCTTGTTGGTTTTATTTTCCCTTGTTTGTTTTCCCTTGAATATGTAATATATATATATATATATGTATTGTTTCCCTCGTTGATTTTAACAGGAGTTCATCACTACTGGACACATTTTTCTTTTTTCCCTGGGGTCTTAACCAACTGGAAGGGGTGCACCTGGGCTTCGCCGGTGCTCGGCGAATTCAGGGCATGTCTTTCTTTGGAGGGAGGGGGGGGGGGTCGTTTTTTGTTTCTGTTTGTTCAGCCGCCTGAAAAAAACTCGGAGGCGCCCTTTCTCGACCAGTTGGCATTTCCGTTCTCCTTGGTTCTTGGGGCCCGTTCCTTTGGCGTCCCTTGAAATCAGTTGAGCAGAAACGGGGGTGCCATTTGGACCAGTTGGCATTTCCACTCTCCTGTTTCTTGAAGGGGTCCCTTTTGAGTGCCCCCAAGAACAGACAGAAGTTGCTGGGCGGCAACCCTTTCCAGTCCCGCCGCAGGTTTGGGTCCCTGGTGTTCATCGCCCTGAAAAAATGGAAGGGAGGGATCGACCACTAGCCGTGTAAAGCTTGTAGGTTTTTTTACTCTATGAGCATAGCTTTCCCTTTGATCGGTTAGTTTGCTTAGGAATAGATGGGTTCGACTGGCTTCTGGAAATCCTTTACCAAAGGGACACCTATGAGATTGAACAGTTGGAACCGCACCAAAAGTGGTGGACGTGCCTCCCATGTCCAAGATCATTCACACTTGCAGGAAGTGGAAGGGAAAACCAGGCACCTGGGCGGTTCTCAATCCCCGAACATGTCAACGGCGTTTTCTTGGTTTCCCTCTGACTACCAACCGCAAGGGGGTCGGTCATAGCCCGGACTTTGAGAATAATTTCGAGGCATACCCAGTCGGGCCTCGGAAGACGGTCCCATATGGCACATAACGCAACATCCAAATATGCTGTCACAGATCCTGGTAGGTGCGGGTGTGTCAAAACCAGCCGGAATCTTCCGTCATGTTTGGTTTCATGTTGGTTCCCTTTTGCACGATAGTTCTCAAACTGGTGGTGGTTCTGCCACATAGTTTAAAAGCTGTGTGTTGTGCGGCACTGGTCCAGATGTTCCGTAATACCTCCCATCACTGGTAATCAGCCTACTCTTCGCATAGAGCTTTTGTGGAGATGTATTCTTCTAAGAAACCAGCTGCCTGTCAGTGAAATTGAATTGATGTGAGCCAAGCTAATTAGTACTATCTAGTAAGCTATTTAGAACAAGGATAGTTGTATGTAGCTAGCTGGCTCTTGTGATTTCTGCGTAGCGCAGGTGGCACTTCAAGCAGGGGAGATGTTGCTGCCGCTGCCTCGATCGACGCGTCGTCCTTCGCCCAAGGGGACCATAAAACTCAGTGTTGTTTCCTTCGAAACTCCAGCAGCCCGTGGGGCAACACCCATTCGTTGTGCAGTCCCTGTACCCTTGTGGTTGAACACAACACCTGAAGTCCAATAGGGTTTGGGAGTTCAGTGATGTAAGAAGAGAACACAGGGAGTCCTATTCGTTTCCCTTCAAGTACAGGGCCTTCTCATGGTTGTTGTTGGGAAACATTTGAAACATGTTTGCTTATTGTGGTTTAGTGGTTGAAATCCAAGCACTTAAGTGCTAAAACTTGAGACAATGTTTGCTTGCTCCAGGTCCCTCGCGTCCCCAGAGGGACACCGACCTCTTTCTTCCCCATCGAGAACAAGGTCCCTAGGTGCCCGACCTCTCACCCACTTTTGTGGTTGGGAGATTCAGTTCCCCTAGAAAAATAGACTACAGAAAAAAAAATCGGGTTCCCTGATTCTAACCTCTCTACTGGAGGACCTAGCTAAGAGAACAATCTCCCACGCAACACGGACCATCGGATCGCATCTGGATCCTGGGATCGGAGATCGAAAGCGGCAAAGACCGGCGAAGTCGGGGCATTCGCTCGCACGTTCGGCGGCTCACTGGCTGATTGGATCCTCGCCGAAATGTTGAACCAAACATCGGGGGTAGGCCGGGTGAAGGGACCCATCTCCATTCTTCGCACACCGGGAGGGGAAAAAAAGGGTTCAACATGTCATCAGATGTTTGGCAGTACACGCATCTTCCATTTGCTGCAATGATTTATATATATATATATATATGTTTTTCTATTACTATGTCCCGTCTTGACATGTTTAAAGGAAATCTTTCATTTTTGGAGTTGTTTTCCCATGAGGCTTAAGCAATTGGAAGACATTCTTGGGAATACGCGGTCCAGACTTGCGGGAAGATGGGAATGCCGCCATCGACCATTCTCTAGAAGAGCTGTGTACAGTTCGAAGGGCATGTTCAACTCTATTCGCCAAGAGCAAGCCAGAGATACCGTTTTTGTGTTGCCATCTGCGTTTCAAGTTGATTTTCCAAGTTGGGAACGCGATTCTTTCAGTGCGTCCTTTTCTTTGCGTGCGTGCAGGGGGAACCACCAGATAACAACATAATCACACCCGCAGCAGGCCTCACGAGCAAGACGTTTTAACCACTGAGCTTATCCATAGATTCCTGGGCAGAGGGTAATGTTACACCTCCTTTATCAATAGGCATTTTTTCTCGCAATTCAGGATCTTGTGACTGTTTTGGGGTCCTCAATTGCAGCAATTGTTCTCCCCCCAAAAAACAAAACAAAACAGAAATAAAAGGGCTCTGTTTTTACTCTCCTGATCTTGTCTAGGGCTAAGCCTCCGATAAAATATGGGCCAAACAATCTTGGCAAAGAAGTCGAGCAAGAAACCCGAGCAAACAAATCCGGGCAAACAGGATTTTGTGAAGTGGTCCCCAAACCATCAAATTTAAGATAACTTCCTTACAAACAAGTGCGGGCAAACAGTCACACAAAGGGGGGTGCCCACCAGGGGCCCTGATCCTCTTTTAATGTGACTGTTTTGGGGTTCTCTTTCGTGTCCAACGGCTTTTTGGGTTGCTGAAATTGTTAGACTCAAGCCTTAGCCTTTTACTTTTAGAGCGGTTCACCTAACCAAGCTCTTCCCAGCTCAAAGGGTAAAGGCCTTGGATCTAGGAAGTTATTTTTGCCAGTGGCCCCCAAACCATCAAATTTAAGATAACTTCTTTACAAAAAAGTACGGGCAAACAGTCACGCAAAGGGGGGTGCCCACCAGGGGCCGTGATCCTCTTTAATGCGACTGGTTTGGGGTCCTCTTTAGTGTCTAACCTGTTTGGGGGTTGCTGAAAAAAAAGGTCCTTGGCACTACTAAAATAGAATTGGCAATACCAAAGTAAGTGCTAGGAATCTGACCCGCAATACTAAAGTAGAATTGGCAATGCCAAAGTACTGTCGCTCCCAGACCCCCAGGATCTCGCTTAAAGAGGGTCCAGCTGACTGGTTCCACTCCTAAGGGGGGGGGGTGTAAAGAGGGTCCAACACTACCCTCCAGATATGGTTCTGTGTCTCTTAAGAACTTGGACCTGACAAATGCCAGTTGTCCGCTTCAGTTCAGGAGGGTTCCGTTTGAACCAGCCCCAAATGTAGCCGAGCAAGAAAACACGAGATTCTCCCGGAGGGAGCACCTCAGCAAGATGCCGGACTACAAGATGCCATTTACCTCCTGGCTTGAGGCGCTCGCTCGTCAGTGTTCAGCCAAGCCATCAGCTTGATTGCCAGGCATGAAGCTTGAATCCATTGATTGCTTGAATCTATTCAATTGCTTGAAGTCCTTGACATTGCTTGAACTCATGGATTGCGATAAACACATTGATTGCGTTTCATGTTGTTGCTCTCCAGCCTTGGAGTCGCTTGCAGCCGCTATATATGTTGATGGCTGACATGCTAGTGCAGGCATGCCTGAAGGTTGCAGCGCTTTCTTCAACGGCAGACATAGGTGCGATATTCTGCAGGAATGTCGCATGCATGTGCGTTGGCTGAGCATGTCGCTTTTGGCGGAAGTTTCCTCTCAAGTTTCGAGATCTCTCCCATAACTGGCCTTGCGCGCTGTTCCTTCGATGGCGGCTGTCGAAGTACGCGGAACAGGTGGCATGCTCAGCCAGGCAGAGGAGGGTATGAAGCTGTTTGCGCAAGCGGCCGGCACGGCGGCGGAATTCGACCGGGCCGGCGCGGAGAAATACAAGGCGGAGGTAGAGACGCGCATTGCTGCCTTGGAAGCCGAAGCTGCCTTGCTCACGGGCAAGGACAACAAGAAGGAGAGAGCTGCGAAGGGCAAGGAAGCGGCGGAGCTGAAAGCCGAGCAGTGCTACGTGGACGCCTGCAAGATCGTGAAGGGTCTGGAGCCCAAGTTCGGCTACTTTGTGACCAAGGCTGCGGAAGTGCCTGAGGCTCCGCCGCCAGCAGAAGAGGAGCCCAAAGCGGAGAAGGCGAAGAAGGAGACCAAGAAGGAGTCGAAGAAGGAGTCGGCCGGCCTCAGCCCTGCAGAGACCAAGGAGCTGGAAGATCTGAAGCAGCGGATCGTGGAGAGAAAGGCCATCCTGAAGGAGCAGGGCTTGAGCGGGGGACAGCAGAACAAGGACGAAGAGATCGTGAAGATGGTGAATCGAATGAACGAGCTGAAGGAGAAGCAGGACCCCGGAAGCAGCAAGAAGGAGAAGGACGCCAAGAAGGACTCCAAGAAGAAAACGCCGCTGAGTGCCGAGGAGCAAAAGGAGTATGCCCAGCTCCAGAACGAGGTTGAGATCTACAAGGCCAAGCTGAGAACGGAGTTCGGGTACAGCAACAAGGAGATGAAGGCGGACCCAGACCTGAAGGACATGGAAGCACGGCTGGCCGCCCTTGAAAAGCGCAGCTGAGAGGAGCACGGGGCTGGACGGTCGGAGTGCCGCCAAGCCCGAAGAAAAGTTAATGTACCATGGGGTCCATAGCTTTACCGTGGATTCATGATGTGCCATCATTTGCCAGCGTTTGTCCGGGGTCAGCAGCTTAGAACACTCGAACATTCTTGTCCATGCATACTCACACCCATTTTCCCGGACAGACTGCTATCTCTGCGGGCTGACTCAACCAGCAGTCGGCTGTTCAATGGTTTATCAAAGGAGTCGCCAGGCGAGGTCCAAGTTTCGATACCATTTGAAGTCTTTGAAGTGTACAGGCGAGTTGGTTTGACATTGCCAGTTTCTATTGTCTGTGAGGGCTTGCGCTTGGAACGGGAGATGCCTCATGCAAGTGCAACAAAATGCGTGCAGCGCTGAATGATCAGATCATACTGATCTGGTAGACATCAGTGCCAATTTGTTGATCACTTGTTTGTTCATGTTAGACGCAAACATGGTTGCAACATGATGCACATCGCATTGCAGCTTCAGTTCAGTTTGATGGTGAGTTGTGTGCATGCCTTGTTCGAATGTGAGTGTGTTGCATCGTTTTTTTGTGATCATTTTGGCGGAAGATTCCTCTCAAGTTTCGAGATCTCTCCCACAACTGGCCTTGCGCGCTGTTCCTTCGATGGCGGCTTTCGAAGTAGTACGCGGAACAGGTGGCATGCTCAGCCAGGCAGAGGAGGGTATGAAGCTGTTTGCGCAAGCGGCCGGCACGGCGGCGGAATTCGACCGGGCCGGCGCGGAGAAATACAAGGCGGAGGTAGAGACGCGCATTGCTGCCTTGGAAGCCGAAGCTGCCTTGCTCACGGGCAAGGACAACAAGAAGGAGAGAGCCGCGAAGGGCAAGGAAGCGGCGGAGCTGAAAGCCGAGCAGTGCTACGTGGACGCCTGCAAGATCGTGAAGGGTCTGGAGCCCAAGTTCGGCTACTTTGTGACCAAGGCTGCGGAAGTGCCTGTGGCTCCGCCGCCAGCGGAAGAGCAACCAAAAGCGGAGAAGGCGAAGAAGGAGACCAAGAAGGAGTCGAAGAAGGAGTCGGCCGGCCTCAGCCCTGCAGAGACCAAGGAGCTGGAAGATCTGAAGCAGCAGATCGTGGAGAGAAAGGCCATCCTGAAGGAGCAGGGCTTGAGCGGGGGACAGCAGAACAAAGACGAAGAGATCGTGAAGATGGTGAATCGAATGAACGAGCTGAAGGAGAAGCAGGACCCCGGAAGCAGCAAGAAGGAGAAGGACGCCAAGAAGGACTCCAAGAAGAAAACGCCGCTGAGTGCCGAGGAGCAAAAGGAGTATGCCCAGCTCCAGAACGAGGTTGAGATCTACAAGGCCAAGCTGAGAACGGAGTTCGGGTACAGCAACAAGGAGATGAAGGCGGACCCAGACCTGAAGGACATGGAAGCACGGCTGGCCGCCCTTGAAAAGCGCAGCTGAGAGGAGCACGGGGCTGGACGGTCGGAGTTCTGAGTCCGCCAAGCCCGAAGAAAAGTTAATGTACCATGGGGTCCATGGCTTTACCGTGGATTCATGATGTGCCATCATTTGCCAGCGTTTGTCCGGGGTCAGCAGCTTAGAACACTCGAACATTCTTGTCCATGCATACTCACACCCATTTTTCCGGACAGACTGCTATTTCTGCGGGCTGACTCAACCAGCAGTCGGCTGTTCAATGGTTTATCAAAGGAGTCGCCAGGCGAGGTCCAAGTTTCGATACCATTTGAAGTCTTTGAAGTGTACAGGCGAGTTGGTTTGACATTGCCAGTTTCTATTGTCTGTGAGGGCTTGCGCTTGGAACGGGAGATGCCTCATGCAAGTGCAACAAAATGCGTGCAGCGCTGAATGATCAGATCATACTGATCTGGTAGACATCAGTGCCAATTTGTTGATCACTTGTTTGTTCATGTTAGACGCAAACATGGTTGCAACATGATGCACATCGCATTGCAGCTTCAGTTCAGTTTGATGGTGAGTTGTGTGCATGCCTTGTTCGAATGTGAGTGTGTTGCATCGTTTTTTTGTGATCATTTTGGCGGAAGATTCCTCTCAAGTTTCGAGATCTCTCCCACAACTGGCCTTGCGCGCTGTTCCTTCGATGGCGGCTGTCGAAGTAGTACGCGGAACAGGTGGCATGCTCAGCCAGGCAGAGGAGGGTATGAAGCTGTTTGCGCAAGCAGCCGGCACGGCGGCGGAATTCGACCGGGCCGGCGCGGAGAAATACAAGGCGGAGGTAGAGACGCGCATTGCTGCCTTGGAAGCCGAAGCTGCCTTGCTCACGGGCAAGGACAACAAGAAGGAGAGAGCCGCGAAGGGCAAGGAAGCGGCGGAGCTGAAAGCCGAGCAGTGCTACGTGGACGCCTGCAAGATCGTGAAGGGTCTGGAGCCCAAGTTCGGCTACTTTGTGACCAAGGCTGCGGAAGTGCCTGTGGCTCCGCCGCCAGCGGAAGAGCAACCAAAAGCGGAGAAGGCGAAGAAGGAGACCAAGAAGGAGTCGAAGAAGGAGTCGGCCGGCCTCAGCCCTGCAGAGACCAAGGAGCTGGAAGATCTGAAGCAGCAGATCGTGGAGAGAAAGGCCATCCTGAAGGAGCAGGGCTTGAGCGGGGGACAGCAGAACAAGGACGAAGAGATCGTGAAGATGGTGAATCGAATGAACGAGCTGAAGGAGAAGCAGGACCCCGGAAGCAGCAAGAAGGAGAAGGACGCCAAGAAGGACTCCAAGAAGAAAACGCCGCTGAGTGCCGAGGAGCAAAAGGAGTATGCCCAGCTCCAGAACGAGGTTGAGATCTACAAGGCCAAGCTGAGAACGGAGTTCGGGTACAGCAACAAGGAGATGAAGGCGGACCCAGACCTGAAGGACATGGAAGCACGGCTGGCCGCCCTTGAAAAGCGCAGCTGAGAGGAGCACGGGGCTGGACGGTCGGAATGCCGCCAAGCCCGAAGAAAAGTTAATGTACCATGGGGTCCATGGCTTTACCGTGGATTCATGATGTGCCATCATTTGCCAGCGTTTGTCCGGGGTCAACAGCTTAGAACACTCGAACATTCTTGTCCATGCATACTCACACCGATTTTCCCGGACAGACTGCTATCTCTGCGGGCTGACTCAACCAGCAGTCGGCTGTTCAATGGTTTATCAAAGGAGTCGCCAGGCGAGGTCCAAGTTTCGATACCATTTGAAGTCTTTGAAGTGTACAGGCGAGTTGGTTTGACATTGCCAGTTTCTATTGTCTGTGAGGGCTTGCGCTTGGAACGGGAGATGCCTCATGCAAGTGCAACAAAATGCGTGCAGCGCTGAATGATCAGATCATACTGATCTGGTAGACATCAGTGCCAATACGTTGATAACTTGTTTGTTCGTTGCATCGCTTTTCTTGTTTGTAGTCAGGTCGACGGAAGCTTCCTCTCAAGTGTCCAGGTCTCTCTCACAACTGGCCTTGCGCGCTGTTCCTTCGATGGCGGCAGTCGAAGTACGCGGAACAGGTGGCATGCTCAGCCAGGCAGAGGAGGGTATGAAGCTGTTTGCGCAAGCGGCCGGCACGGCGGCGGAATTCGACCGGGCCGGCGCGGAGAAATACAAGGCGGAGGTAGAGACGCGCATTGCTGCCTTGGAAGCCGAAGCTGCCTTGCTCACGGGCAAGGACAACAAGAAGGAGAGAGCCGCGAAGGGCAAGGAAGCGGCGGAGCTGAAAGCCGAGCAGTGCTACGTGGACGCCTGCAAGATCGTGAAGGGTCTGGAGCCCAAGTTCGGCTACTTTGTGACCAAGGCTGCGGAAGTGCCTGAGGCTCCGCCGCCAGCAGAAGA